AAAGAAAGAAAGAAAGAAAGAAAGAAAGAAAGAAAGAAAGAAAGAAAGAAAGAAAGAAAGAGGACAGCCCAACAGTACCTACCTGTTACTGCAACTCTCTGGGATGCTGAGGCAGGAGGATCATGAGTTTGAACCCAGGATGGGCAATTTAGTGACTTACTGAGACCCTGTCTAGGTTTATCAATTATTGAAAATCTGGCATTGAAATATCCAACTGTCTTATGAATTTGAATTTTCTCCTGTCAATTTCATCACAGTGGGCTGGGGAGGTGGCTCAGTAGAATAAGCACTTCCCAGGGAAGTAGAATAATAAGTAGAATAAGCACTTCCAAGGGCCTGAGTTCAATCCCCAGTTCCGCAAAAAAGAAAAGAAAGAAAATTTCATCACAGAATATTAACAAAGATATAGAACATTTGAAAACAGCTCAAATCTAGGTCACAAGTCCCCATACACTAGAAATGACTGAAGAAAAGGCGAAACAGAATCAGTCAATCAAAAAAATCTAAAAACTAGAGCTTAAACAACACACTTGTAAATAGCTCGTGGATGAAATAAAAAATAATAGAAATTATAAAAAACTTAAGCTGGGAGGAGGAGGAGGAGGAGGAGGAGGAGGTTGTGCACGTCAGTCATCCCAGCACTCAGGAAGCTGAGACAGGAGGATTGCTAGGAGTCCAAGGTCATCCTGGGCTACATAACAAGGCCCTGTCTCAAAAAAATGAAGGAGGGAAGGACAAAAGGAGGGAGGGAAGGAAAGAGGGAAGGAAGGAAGGAGGGGAGTGAGAGAGGAATGGAGGAAGGAGGAAGGAAAGGAGGGAGGGAGGGAGGGAGGAGGGAGGGAGGGAAGGAGAGAGGGAGGGAGGAGGGAGGAGGGGAGGAGGGAGGGAGGGAAGGAGAGAGGGAGGGAGGACGGAGGGTGGGAGGAGGGAGGGAGAGGAAATCAGAATAGAAACACAACCGCCCCCCAAAAAAGAAATGAGAATAGACTTGAAGCAAACACATGGATGGAATTGAAAATCTTCCCACAACAAAATCCAAGACCACATACCCTTGCTGATGCAGTCTAACAAATAACTAAAGAGGAAAAAAAAATACTAATGTGCCACAAACCCTTAGAGAAAATAATGAAATAGGAACACTTTCCACCTCAGTATTAACCTCATTCCTAATCTATCACTCGCACACTTTTTTTGTTTTTTTTGCAGAACCGGGGATTGACCTGAGGCCCTTGCGCTTGCCAGGCAAGCACTTATTGTACTGAGTTCTCTCCGGCGCACTCACACACATTCTTAACACAATGTTTTAAAACCAAGTCCAGGCGCCCCCTTTCCCCCGCCACCGCTGCCGCCGCGCAGGAGGCTGCACGCGCAGCGCCCCCGTTTCAGGCAGCAGCCCAGCAGTCTCCAGGAGCTGCAGAGGGGGTCCTGCAAGCCGCAGCTAAGGGCACCAGGTTTTCTTTCAGAGTAGTGAAAATAGTGTGGAATCAGAGATTGGAGACAGCTGTAAAACCCTGGGAATATACGCCAAAACTCCACTGAACCGTACATTTTTGAGGGTATATTTTATACAATGTGAATTACATTTCAGTGAAAAGCCTTTAAGCTTGAGAGGGTGGAAAAAGAAACGGTAGGCAAATAGCAACCGCAATGCCCAGCCGTGCTGCTCCTGTGCGACAGAGTAGGGCAAAGCAAGGGGCGCTGCTGCCGCTCACTACAGGTTGATCAAAGAGCCAGCCTGCCTCAGATACGCAGCACTGGCCCACGCACACAACCTTAGTAAGGTAGCTTACAAGAACGACAAGGAGAAACTGGCAAAAGGCCCTTGGGCTTCCTCTCAGGGGGCCCCGTGGGGGCAGGCCCTGGCTCAGGACAGGAGTGACCATCAGAACCCCCATGGGGGTGAAAGGAGAGCTGAAGGAATGGGTGTGTGGATTGCATATTTGTCAAGAGAGACCAGATAGGGCTGAAAAATATTGGGAAACACCTTTCTGGGGAGAGGCGGGCAGACAGGAGCTCACAAGCTGGCTTTGAACTGGTGAGGGTTTTTCTGCCTCAGTCTCCTCTTCCGAGCAAGGTGGGGCCAACAGGCGAGAGCTACCACTCCCAGTCGGAAAACACTCTCAAAGCAAACTCTTGACGTCATCTGTCTTGCTTAAAAGCCTCTGATGGCTCCTGGGCGCCTTCTTGGAAAAGTCTCTCTCTGCTATCTGTGGCCCCTTCCTCTCCCAACTCCCCTCAGTCAGCTGAGCAAGTTGGGGTTCTTTGCGATCGATCGGAAACAATCGATCCTTTAATCTTGCCTGCATGGGGTCAAGGGGTGGAGCATGGGGTGCCTGCGAGAGAGGCGAGCACAAGTGGCGACCATGACCACGTGTCCATAAGCAATGCCAGGCAGCAAAGAGCGTGTAGTTGGCAGTGCCAGCTCTGCCACTGCCTGGCCTTTCCCCTGGGCTCCTGGCAGCACCCTGCCTCCTTCATGACCCACGCCAGCCCCCCACAACTGCACTCCACACGCACCCAGGTGTGCCTCAAGGCCCCTACTCCTGGGCCACCACCACACCCCTCCCACCATGGAAAAGTCAGTTTCCACTGAATGGGACTTGAAGGCAGACTGAGCACCTGCAAGGGCCACCCCAAAATCCAGGGCAGGTCCCCCAGCATGCCAACACTCTGCAACCTTATGTCCATATATCGCAGGTCACACCTCCCTGGCACTGGGGCAGGCAGGAAGATACTTGGCCCAACAGAAGCTGTGCGCCCTCAGCCTCTTTGTACCTCCATCTCCCCACGTGGGAAGGGCGGTGATGATATACCAATTGTCATTTCCACAGATGAGGGTCAAGTGAAGCCACGCGTAGCGCCTGAACCACGAGTGGCATGTAGTAAGTGCTCAGGGAAGTGCTACCTATCGCATGTCTGCCTTTGCAGGAGCCGTTCCTAACTACGCACTGTAAGGCTGGCTGCAGATGTGCAAAGAGGGGGTAAGGAAAAAGTGGCGTTTTCTCTACCTTCCTGTCCTTGGGCACTTCCCAATTGCCACGTCCAAATCGATGCTGCTAGCTCTACTCCACCGCAAGTCACCCCCTTAACCCTCTGTGGCAAATGCTTGCACTGTCTGCCCAGCATGCACGGGACCCCCACACCTCTGCCCTCACACTTCTCATCACCAGGGCATGTCCCCCTGCCCCAGAGTGGCCCTCCGGACTTTGCTTCCCGGAACCCCTGCCGCCCACAAGCTTGCTCCCAGCCGCCCCCCACCCCGGCTTGGGGAGGTGCCCCCTCTGCGATACTGCACCCTTCTCCCAAGAACCTCACCGAAGCTGCCTTCCCTGCCAGTGTCAGGGTGGCCCCAGTGCCAGCCGCCAGCCCTCTCCCACCCACACATCACCCTCTGCCAACCGGAGCCTTCAACAGACGTCTTCTTGCTTCCAAGAGTGTGCATCTCAGGGGACCCCAAGCTTTCTCCTCACAATCTCCCTCCCTGCCGCTGCCCCAAGTGCTGAAAGGTCCAGAGGTGGCCGCTGGCCCTCTAAAGATGTGGTCGTGGGGCCCTCTGCCGGCGGGAGGCCAAACTGCAATGTCGGGGCGACTGGGACTGGGGCACTCTGGAGGGAACCGTGCCCCGCGGTCCGGTAATCCTGGCGAGGCCCCCCCTCTGCAGTGCTCACCTCCGGAGGACGGGCACCTCCTCCGATGTGCTAATGTGCGCCCATGACCTGTACACAGTCGGGGCTCCACCGACTATGACCCAAAGGAAAGGTAGCGGGCGAGCCATGATGGAATGAAGAGGGGGACACGTAGAGACCTGGCCCAGTGTGCGTGAGGAGGGCCAGCCAGACAAGGTGAGACCAGGCTATGTGGCTCAGCTATGTTAGCCACACAGGGTGGCCAGGGATGGCCAGGGGATGGAGGCGGAAGCAGCCACATCCATGCTTCTGGGCCCAGCAAGACACGGCCGCGCGCGCGGACAAGAGCTGTTCTTCGACATCAGGAAGACGCGGCCTCACTCCAGTCCTGGCCAGAAACCCAGGCAAGCCCCTCTGGTCCCTGAGTTCACAGCAGCAGCCCCTGGGGACCCAGACACTGCGAGGGCCCTCAGGGAAGGGGTCCATCAGCCTCGCACCATAGCCCCAGGGCTGGACAGTCAGACCTCCCTGGTGGCCAGGTGGCCTTTTGGGGGAGGGCTGGGGGCCAGAACAGGAAGCTTCAGGCGATTAGGGGAGCAAGGTCCACTATGGACCGCCCCCTCCTTGCCCCTCACCCGGGTGACCAGGACGCCGCACCCGTCCCACCCCAGCTCACTGGCACCCATTGCTCTGTCTTTATTGATGGGGAAAAGTGCAGGCACGACACAAGCAAGCCCATTCACGGTCAGTGAAGCACAGGACAGCCGTGCATGAGTGCATGCGTGCATGTGTGTGCACGTGTGTGTGTGCGTGCAAGCATGTGTGCAAGGGAGGGGTGGCCCTTGGGGCCCCCCTGGCAACCCTCCCCAGCATCTAGAGGGGGGCAGTGACCCCAGGAGGGGAGTCATTGGCCCTAAGCAAGGGCAGAGCCTGTGGCACAGACTCAGGGCCCCCACACCCTGCATCTGCACCATGCGCCACAGCCACGTCTCCAAGTCTGCAGCAGAGGCAACCCCAGGAATGAGGTGGAAGGAAAGGGGTCAGTCCACTTGGCCTTGGCATCTGCCTGAGGTGTAGGAGGAAAAAGGGCAATCAGGAGCTGGTAGCCTCTATGTATCGCCTCTGTGGATCCTCGGCCTCACAGGGACTGTCAGGAGTGACTCTCACCCCCACCCTGGGCTGCCTCTCCTGCCGCCAGGCCCCTCTTCACCTGTCCTCACTATGCCACCTGGCCAGTGGGCTCCACCCCACCTAGCTGTTGGCCCTGGGGAACACCACCACCCTCTAAACTCTGCCCCACACACCTGGACACCTAGGCATGATCACCACTTGGGGGGCTGGCCAGTCTGCAGGCCAGGGTGGCTGTGATGAGTCATACCCTGCCGGGGAGTCTCCTCACCATCCGGGCTCTGCCCCAGCTTACGGATGTGGCGCAGGAACGAGGTGGCATTGAATGCTCGCTGCAGGAAGGGGGTTGGTCAGCCATGCCTCAACACAGCCCCAAGACTCTGAGCCCCACAGTGGCCCTGGCAGCCCAGGTTGTGCCCCAACGCAGGAGCTGAGGCATCTCCCTGCTGACCTTCCAGTGGGTCCGGGCAAAGTTCCTCTGGATCTGCTCACTGACGGAGCCTAGGATGTCCTTGTCCAAAGCTACATCCCCAGAGATCCTGGGAAAAGCTGGAGGTAAGGCGGGCCCCCCAGCCCTGGGACAGTTTGTGGGGCGGCACTCACCACAGGTGCTGCAAAGCCTGCTGGCATGTGAACCTCTTCTGGGGATCTCGCTCCAGAAGGTGCCGGATGAAGTCTTTGGCTGCATGGGGGACCTACCTGGTCAGCTTGCCTGTCCCCATGGTCCCCACCTTTGCTACGCACAGGGCTGGGGCCAGCCCCGAGCTCACCTGATTCAGAGATGTCATCCCAGAAGGGAGAGTCGAACTCATAGCTAGCCCTCAGGATCTGGCTGAAGAGTTCAGGGTCGCTCTCATCGTAGAATGGGGGGTACCCACACAGCCTGGCACCCACAGATGCATCACTCAGCTGTCTATCCCTCCCCAACCCGGCAGGACGCAGGCAGACAGCAGTAGAGCCCTCCCAGTGGTCACTCACAGGATGTAGGAGATGACACCCAGGGCCCACACATCTACAGCCTTGCCGTAGGGTTTCTGCTCCAAGAGCTCCGGGGCTGGGGGCCAGAGACAGACAGGCAGACAGACTTGCATGCACATGCGTGTGTGCACACACACACACTGCTGCTGGCTTCAGCCTGTGCAGCCCCAGGAGTGGGCAACAGCCCCCCAGCCCCTTGGCTACCCAAGGTTCCCAGCCCACCCAGCCCAGGCAGCCTCCGAGTGTGCTCCTCGCTTACCCACATAGCCTGGGGTTCCACAGGCTGTGCCCAGCATGTTGCCAGCCTGGATCTTGGAGAGTCCAAAGTCGGAAACCATGATCTTGGAATCCTCGAAAGGGGTCGCATAAAGGAGGTTTTCAGGCTGTTACACAAGGGATCAGGAGTCAGCCCTGGCGTGAAGAGGGTGGGCCCTGGGTGTCCTCCAAAGAGGGGGCACCAGGGAAGGCACCTTGAGGTCTCGGTGCACGATGCCCAGGCTGTGCAGATAGGAGACAGCACCGAGGACCTGCCCCACCAGGTGGCTGGCATCCTTCTCAGTGTAGGAGCCCCGCTCCATGATGCGGTCGAACAGCTCTCCACCTGTCACCCTGGAGAGAGGCGAGATCAGCAGCCGCCTGGCCTGCACTCCCCCAGCACTGTACAGCCTTCTTGGGGCCACTCACAGTTCCATGGCCAGGTACAGGTGGGACGGGCTCTCATGGACATCCTCCAGGGCCACGATGTTGGGGTGGCTGACCCTGCAGGTGTGACAAAAAGCCCCTATGGCCAGCTGGGCCTGGACCGCTGCAGGTGGCCTCATCCAGAAAGCATTCTGTTCTGTGTCCAAGGTCACACCTGACCACCCGGAGACCCATGTCTTGTGAGGACACACAGTCTGAAGCCCACTTGAGAAGCACAGATCTATAGCAACCCTCTCTCTTTGCCAGTGGGGACACAGGGGACCAGGGAGGGAAAGAGACTACCCCAGGTCCCTACAGGTCAGAGCCAGGTGGGACAGAGCTCAGGGCTCACCCCTGCAGACCCCGTGCACCCACCTGCGGAGCACAGCAATCTCATTCTCCACCAGTGCCTCCTTGCCACGCAGCACCTTCTTGGGGATGCACTTGAGGGCCACGAGGTGTGCAGAGCCCCGCTCCTGGGCCAGCACCACCTCAGAGAAGGCCCCCCTGGTGCAGGGACATGGGAGGCATAGGGTGTGAATCAGACAGGGAGAGGAGGGGCAGGGTCCCTGGCTGAAGGAGAGAGACCCCCCCACCCTGCACACGCACGCACTCACACCCACTGGCCCACATCCAGACACATTTGCACACCTCACACACACTCAAACACCCACGCACCTCAATTCACTGGTGTTCACACACACTCTGAGACACCCACGCACCACGTCACGTTCGTGCACACATCACACACACACACACAGAGGCACGCACGTCTAAGCCCACACACTCACGAGCCCAGCTTCTCCCGGATCTCATAGATGGTGCTGATGTCCTCGGTCTGCTTCTTAAGGAGCAGCATGTCTGCGGGGAATGGGGGGAGTAGTGGGGCCCCTAGTGAGGGCCGTCCCTGGCCCTCCAAGGCCAGCAGTGCCTGGGCTCAGGCCAGGCCCCCGGGACCATGCTGCGTGGGGAACTCCCATCTCAGCCCCGCTGGGGCCGCCCCTCCCCCACAGCCACCTCCCACTGAGCCAGTGCACCATCCCCACCTCCTGTCCCGGTGGCCTGGCACCCGACGGCGGCCTGCACCTGGCCACCCCACCCTCTCCTTCACACATCTGAGGCAGCAGGATGTGCATTCCACTGTCTCCAGCTCCCACCGACATGGCCCAGACTCTCCCCAACAGACCCTCCACGGCACAGTGCTTACAGGCACGCGCCACCCAGGCCACCAACCCGTCCGAATGCACCTGCAACCCCAATCACAGCCACCTGTCACGACCGCAGCAACCCACGCGGCTGGCCACCCCACCGTAATTCAGCCCTCAGCACCTCAGAGAGAGTGAGGGGCCTCGGTAGCCTGGCCACCGCGTCGCGAGCTGCGTGGGCCGCGCGCGTCCCGAAGGGGGCGCGCCAGGCGTGACAGGTGTGCACGGGGGCGCGCGGGGGGTTTGCCGCGGTCGCAGAGCAGGAGGGACCCCGTAGGCCTGAGCGCGCCGCCCCCAGCCGGAGCAGCCAGTGCCCACCTGCAGTTGATGCCGCACGTCACCTGGCGCAGTGGCCGCCGTTCAGAGCCCCCAGCCCGCGCCCCGCCAGCCCCGCCCCCTTGCGCGAGCGCTCGCGCGCCCCCTCGGGCGGCTGGCGGCAGAGCAAGCAGTGGCCAAGGCGCGCAGGCGGCTGTGGCGCTGCAGGGCGCCTTGTAAGGCAATCGTGAGCTACTGCCTGGCTCCTCGTCCGCCTGCGTGGGCTGATCCCCTGCCGCGCGGGCGTCTCCTGACCTAACTCCGTGGCCTCAGGGCCTTTGCACCACCAGGGACTCAAGGCGGGAAGTCTCTTCGCCCACTTGTTGCCATGGCTCTGTGCCTTGGGGCCTCTGCTTTCACTGCCAGCCAGGCCACCTGCCCCCAGCCCTTGTACCTGGACCCTGCCACACTGCCACCATCACTCCGCCGCCCTGGCCTGAGTGCCCATGAGCACGCAGCAGGCTCCTCTGCCTCACCTGGAAGCCCGTGCCCTCAGCCCCTTCCTCCAGCAACGCATGGAGCTGGGGCTCGCAGTCCGCACTTGTGTCCGCATGCAGCCTCGATACTGCTCAGTGCCCCTTCGGCTGCCTTCGCACACCCGCCGGGCACACACGCCCCGGGGCCCTGCACCACTCTTCGTACGCTCTGGTCATCTCGGGCCCCCACTTGTCTGTCCACCCCCACCGTGGATGGGCTTCAGCTCTCCCTTGCCTAAATGCTCCGGCCCCTTCTCCCTTGACGAAGTGCCTGCACACACAGGAGTGGGGTTTTCCTACTTCACACCCATCCAGGATGGAGCCCCATGTCCTAGCTGGGGCGGGAGCATGTCCCCACCCCCTGTACCACAGGATTCTGCCAAGTCACACATGCGCGCTGCTCCTAAACTAAGAGCTCTCGCCTCCTGCCTTTCTGATCCCCCCACCAGCCCTCAGGGAAAAGTTCCAGAGACCCGAGCCCCAACTGCCCATCTACACAAAGAGGGTTTCCTAGTGAGCCGTGAAAGCCAGGCATGGTGGCACATGCCTGTGATCCCAGTGCTAGGGAGGCTGAGGCAGGAGAATCACTGCAAGTTCAAGACCAGCCTGGGCTACATTGTGAGCTCAAGATCAGCCTGAACTGCACACAGAGTGAGTCTCTCTCTCTCTCTCTCTCTCTCTCTCTCTCTCTGGTACAAGGGATGGAACTCAGGACCTTATGCTTGCCAGGCAGGTCCTTATGCCACTGGGCAATCTCCCCAGACTGACCCTAGCTCAAAAAACAAAACAAAAAATAAATAAATAAACTAAACAAATAACCTAGCGAAACTTGAGGCTGAAAAAAGCAAAAGAGGGACCCAAGGGGGCTAGTGAGATGGCTCGGTGGTCTAAAGCACCTACTTAGAACAAGCTTAGCAAAGCAAAGCACAGGGACCGCGGTTCAATCCCCCAGCACCACATGCCGGCCAGCCGCGCCCCCTGGTGGGCTGAGCTGGCCACACACACACACACACACACACACACGCACGCACGCATAAATAAATAAATAAATAAATAAAGAGGGACCCAAGCAGCATGCCACAGTGCTGACCTTAAGTACTACTCACCAGAACCAAGCCAGAAGGGGTGTTATGCTTTCTGTCTAGTTGTCCCCCTAAAGCTTCATGAAGTCATGGGCTGGGGACTTCTAGAGTTTGAGATTCATGATCCATTGAGATTATGGGTTTTAGTACTGCTGGGATTATGGGTTTGAGTACTACTCCCAGCCTGGGGCAGAGAGCCTGAATGTAACATAAGAGAGACCGAGAGACAGACTTCCTCTCTGTGGCCAGGGTTGCTGCTGCTCCTCCCTTGGCTCCTCTTGCTCTTTGCCGCCCGCCATGAACTGGATGCCCTCTGCCCTGTGCCACCCTGCCTTGGAGCCAGCCAAGTATGGCCTGAACTTCCAGGAACTGTGAGCTGAATAAACTTTTCCTTCCTTCATTTTGGGTGTCAGGTATTTGTCCTAGCAACGAGAGAAGAGTAAATGAGAAAGAAGAATATATGCAGTGTATTATTTGTTGAAAAATAAAAAAAAAATAAAAATAAAATAAAACATGCTTTTAAAAACTAAAAAAAAAAAAAGAGTAAATGAGACAAGGGGCATTATAGGACCTCCAGTCCATCGTGGGCTATGGACAATGTGGACGTGGATCCCTCTGATACACGGAGCCTCCAAATGACACAGGGAGAAAAAAGATCTCCCAACCTAAAAGGTACCTGGGATGAGTTCGTGTTCTCCAAAACCGAAGAATGAATTTTAGGAACAAACGGAGGTCATGAGCAGAATACATTTATTGGAGGGAAAGAAAGCTCCTGTCCAAGAGAGGGACAGGAGGACAGCCCAAACAGGTTGTCTCCGGAAAGCTGTCTCTTCCAAGGACTTTCATAGAGGAAAATCATGTGGTGAGGCGGGTCTAAGGTGATGGAGAAGACATGGGAACTCGCTTAGATGGGCATGAGGTGGGACAAAACTGGTCAACCAGTGGGATTGCAAGTACCATTCCTCAGGTGAAATTGATCAAATCCAGTACCAAATGCGGAAGTGAGTCACATAGCAAGGGGGCATGAATAGGGGACAGGGTCTCTTCCTGTTGGGGGAGTTGGGCTAGTGACTCATTTGGGTTCTTTCAAGGTGATTGATACCTATTTAGAATATCAATCCCTGATGCCTGTCCCTAGGGAAGTATGTGGCTGTGTTTCCTCTTGTCTTGGTTTTGAGGTCTGGCCCATATGGGAGTTGGGGAAAGAAAGCTCCTGTCCACAAGTTGCACATCACCTTGTCTTCCATCTTGTCTCCTTGAGGACCTGGCCCTGTTTGACTGCCTATAATATTTCTGCCTAATTCAACTGCCCACAACACCTCCAACTCAGCATGGCCACACTGGACCTGCTTGCTGTGCCGAAGTCACTGAGTCCCTGCGGGAGGCTGGGTTGGAGGGCAGCAGGCAGGCAGCAAAGACTGGAAGTGAGGCCCCGCCTCCCAAGAGGCCGAAGGCATGCCAACTTACAAGCCATGTTCATGTCCTTGGCCTCGTGTAAAACGCATCAAGAGTGGTGGTGCACATCTATAGTCCCAGGACTCTGGAGGTTCAGGCAGGGGGGGGCTGTCACTTGAGTCCCGGAGTTCAAGGTCAGCCTGAGCATATAGTGGTGCTCTCAAAAAGAAAAAAGAAAAGTGCCAGGTGTGGTGGCACACAACTGCAGACCGATACTCGGGAGGCTGAGGCAGGATAATTAATCACCATGAGTTCAGGACCAGGTTGGGTCACATAGTAAGGTCAATGCCAGCCTGAACTACATAGCAAGACCCTGTCTCAAACCAGCAAGCAAGAAAGAAAGACAGGAGGCCAGCTGTGGTGGCACACACCTATAGTCCCAGCACTTGGGAGGCTGAGGCAGGAGGATCACTGAGAGTTGGCAGCCAGCCTGTGCTACCAAGTAAGCTCAAGGTCAGTCTGAACTGCATAGTGAAACCATGTCTCGAAAAGACCAAAAAAGAACAATTTTATTTTGTTTTATTTATTTATTTTGGTGCTGAGGATTGAACTCAGGCCCTTGCACTTGCCAGGGAAGTGCTTATTCCACTGAGCCATCTCCCGGCCCCCCAAAATGGAATCAGAATTTTTTTTTTTTTGCTCTGAATGCCTTCAGGGCAGGTTTGGCTGGCTTGAGTTGTGCGGATCGAACCCCAGCAACCTGAGCCTGACTGCTTTGTTGAAGCAGCCACTTAAAGAACTGAGCTAAGGGGCAGGCCCCACTCAGTTCATTTTTCTAAGAATGTTTCATACATCAAAATCATGAGATGCCCAGGCAAGGTGGTACATGTCTGTAATCCCAGCACTTGGGAGCCTGAAGCACCAGTATTGCTTCTAGCTGGAGGCCAGCCTGGGCTACCAAGTGAGCTCAAGGCCAGCCTGACCTGCATAGCAAGACCCTGTCTCAAAAAAAAAAAAAGATGAGTGGAAAATTACAGGGTGAGGTGGTACAAGGTGACACAACATACCTGTCATCCCAGCACTGGGAGGCTGAGGAAGGAGGATTCTCATGAGTTTAAGGCCAGCCTGAACTACAAAGCCAAACCTGTCTCAAATGCAAAGGCTGAGGGCCAGCAAGATAGCTCCGGGGACTAAGCGCCCGCTCTGGCACGCACAGGGGCCAGGGTTCAGTTCCTGATCTGCACGCCACGCCGGCCCCACGCCCAGGCATGCTGAGCCTGCGACCGAGTCTGGGGATGCTGGTGCACACCTGTAATCTCAACATTGGGGAGGCTGAAAACAGGAAGATCAGAACGAATCCAAGCTGCATAGTGACACTCTGTACCAAATACATTTTATTTTATTTTTTTATTATTCTTTTATTTTTTTTTTTTTTCGGAACCAGGGATTGAACTCAGGCCCTTGCGCTTGCCAGGGAAGCGCTTATTCCACTGAGCCATCTCCCCGGCTCCTCCCAAATACATTTTAAAAAAGAGAAGAAGAGAGGAAAAAAAACCGAAGAAGCAAAGTCATGAGGTGAGTACAACACGGGTCGAACTATAATCAAGCAGTGAGATCACAACATTAATCCAATAGGGAAGCAGGTCACGTAGCAAGAACAAAGGCATTTTTGAGAAAGGGCGTGTCTGGGTGGTCACCCACCTGGGCGACCGCTGCCTACCTGGATTGCCTGTCCCAAGGGCGATACTGATTACAGAATTCCGAGTTACCGCCCCTCCCTCAGCGAGGCATGCAGGCTCCCGTCGGACCGCAAGCCTGCTCTTCACAGGCGCCTCCAGCCACAATTCCGTCTTAGTTTTTCTGCTGACTTCCTTGACAGCCCGGCCCCTCCCTAATTGTGTATTAATTTCCACTAACTTTGCTGTCTATAATATTAAAACTGTGTAGACCAGTGTGAAGATACAGCAGGTGTCAACTCCAAAACATCCCTGTGTACTGCATGGTGGCGGCGATAAAGAAGTGCCTAACATTCTTTCAAGGGGACACCTCACACAGAAATTAATTAACGTGAGGCCAGGTGTGGGGCCCACGCCCACAATCCCAGCA